GGACCGGTCGATCATGAAATCTCTACGGAAAAAGTCAAAAGAGGTTCAACATCCGACGTGGGCAAATGACGGGGTCCATAAATTTTATCACACGATGCAGTAGAAAGACAAGTCACTGAGTTGCAATTGCAACCACGAATCTACAGCGACTCTCCTTCGGGCACTTGGATTGTTTCGGTGGCTACTTCTAGAGTCACTCCACTGGAACGCCAGCAGCGTTGCTATTTCAAGTGTACGCGTCCCCGTCTCCGTCTCCTCCTTGTTATAGCTACCGTCTCGCCTTCGCGGTTGGGCCTAGTCGATATCCATTACGAAGTAGAGCACAGAGAACAGAGGTTTGTTTGTGTTTTGCACTCTGTCTTTTCATATTGTCCTTAATTTCCATTTCAAGTTTTGTATTAAAGAACTTATAGGTATGATTGATTTAAAGATTAACTTTCCTCTTGCTTCCTGAATGATCTTTTTAAGAATTTTTCTTTTAAATTGCGACCTAGATAGAAGTTGATACTGCTATTACTTTTTCCCAAGAATCCTGAAACCGATCTTCACTTCAGAAGATCGACTTCATTTAGGCTTTTTTAGAAAAAAAAAAAAAAAAAAAAAATCTTCAGCTCGACGTGTACTTCTTCTTCAGCGTGTCGTGTCCATGGGGTATTTTGCGCCGGATGTTGGCGAAGGAGAATTCTCGCAATAGTTAACAGCTCTTCACTAGCACTTCTGTGTTCATCCGAAATTTTGTTTAGCGAAATACCAGTAATAAGAATGATCTGGTTTCAAATCCATATGCTCATTGGGAATTTTATGATTGAAGGTTCTCAACATCAACAGCTGTTGTTCCTGTTTGTTTAATGAAAATGAAATAAAATAAGATGTCCAGCAAATAACTTTTGGAAATTGCCAGGCCCAAAAATGGGTGCTCAGAGGATTGGACATGTAGCAAACAAAGGCCCAAGTGTTTTCAAGGAGATTGTATTGGGGATGTCTTTTGGGTCATGGCAGGAGGCCTTTGGAAAATGCACCACTGGAACAACCAGACGCGGACTAAAGAGTTCTATGACATGCTTGAGAAAGACGAAATCAGTAGTGTTGTGGTGGAAGAGTAGACTGTACGGTAGAGTAGAGTAGGCACTATTTTCTTCCACTTAATTAGGCAAACTCTTTATTTTTGTTAATCATATCCCCACTATCATTTTAATCATATAATTTTTTATAAATCATTAGACTATATAATAAAATAAATCAAAAAATAGAGTTGAAACAAAATATTTTCTTCTTAATTATCTGTGGTGTCTGTCTAGTAAACACTTGCATGTAGGTAGTCGCTTTTCTTGTAAACCGTGGAGGTATGTCTTTAATTAGGAGTTGTATTTCATTTTGTCTGAAAAATTATTTGTACTTACAACATAAACATGTTAATCAATCACCTCTTTATTTTTGCAACCATCTTTATTATAAAAACACTACAATAGTTATTGTAAACAAATAATAATATTTCAAATAATTTTCTATCCAACCATGATTTAATTATCAAGCGTCCAGCTTCAACTGAATCCAATTTCCTTGCATGCCTTTCAGTCGTAGTATGGGTAAGAAGTGGGCCGGTGAAAATTTTGCTTATAAACATGGGATAATTGCATAAACCTCCCTTGAGGTTACTAATCCTTTGCAAATTCAGTCCAAACGATTAAAATATTGTTTTAGGGAGTGAAATTAGAATTTTTTACCAAATTTGTCCTTTGTACACATGTCCATGAATGAAAAATACTACAAATCAATTAACAATTAATAAACTTTAAGGAGTATAGTTTACAGGCAAATGTGCATTACCTATTTAAAGTACGGCTCTTTAAGAGTATTTTACTTTCAAACATTTAATTTAATACAAATATTTACGCTCAAAATACAGATTTTATTTACTTTCAAATATTTAATTTTTGTTAAATACAAATCTACCAATCTCTCTTCAGTAAAAATATTAATATAATACTTTTTCAATTTTAGTTACAAACATTTATGTATTTAACATAAATTAAATGATTCAGATAAAATGCACATAAAGAACAAATACTTTACTCGTGTAATGGATGAAAGCCATAAAAAATTAATACTTTATGGGCCATTTATTTTTTTAAAAAATATTTAATTATATTAAATAAATAACTTATCGATTTCCTTTTTGCAAGAATATAACTATAACAATTTTGAATTTTATTTACAAATATGATATATTTATCATAAATTAAATATTTGAAAATAAAATACTCGTAAAGAGCTGGTACTTTAAATGAGTAATGCGTGTTTGCCCATAAATTATACTCTTTAAAATTTATTAATTGTTAATTGATTTATAGTACTTTGTCATTCATTGGATATGTAGCACAAAGGGCAAATCTAGTATAAAATTCTAATTTCACTCCCTAAAATAATATTTAATCATTTGGACTAAATTTGCAAAGGATTAGTAACCTCAGAGGAGGTCAGTGTAATTTTTCAAACTACAGGGGAGGTCAGTGCAATTGTCAGAAACCTCAGGGGAGGTTTCTGCAATTATCCCTATAAACATTTGCTGCAAAATCTTACTTAAAAACCACGAGAAATTTCTAATTTGTGATGAATTTTAAAAAATTCTACAAAAGGGGTGATTTTAGTAATGGATTCCGTCCGGGGTCTTCGCATTCGTGGAATGCGAGTTCAGTAGAGCTCGCATTTCACGAATGCGAGGTTAGAGTAGAGCTCGCATTCGCGAAATGCGAGCTCTACTTATTGAGCTCGCATTCCGCAAATGCGAGCTCTAATTTAATTTTTTTTACTAGCTCCCCAGAGCTCTCTAGCAGCCTCTATATTCGTAAAAAAAGAAAGGAACTCCTGGGTCAGAGAATGAATTCCACTTCCCTGATTAGCACCAATCGTCATGAACTGGAAAGGCTAGCTCAGAAGATGGCTAGGCCCCTGTTAGCACCAAAAGCGTTAGGGGCCCGCACTGGAGGCATCAGAGACTTCAATGTTAGTTTTCTTGAACTGCAAATCTTCCAAAAAGAAAAAAAAAATTACACTTGACTCTATTTCTTTCAGAAATAGCGGGCAGGCAAAGCAAAGAAACGAAGCTGACTATCATGAATGGATGTCCGAGCTAGAGAATTTTTTCCAGAAAATAGTAAGAGCTAAATGCGAGCTCCTAAATGTTTTTTTTTAAATTTTGCAAATATTTAAAATTTTGCAAATAGCTCGCATTTGATAAATTTGTCCTCCAAAAATTGTATTTAACTTTTTTGTTAGATTTCGCATTTATAAGTATGACTTTCAGAAAATTAAATTCAAACTTGTTAGGAAAAAAATTTAAAATGAAATTTACGAAATTTAAAATGAAATTCAAACTTAATATAATTTACTATACATGCATAATTCTTTTATAATAAAAAAATTGGTAATTGTACGGTTGGAAATACGTATATTTTTATAATACATTTAAATGGGGGAAAAAGTACACATGCATAGTTCTATTTGTTACTTTTCATTATTTATTATTATTATTTTGCTTGCAGGTGCTTATTGTAGCAGGAACTAGTACCACATCAAGGGCGTTGAGCTGGGTTATCTCCCTGCTATTGAACCATAGGCACGTTTTGCAAAAAGCCCAGGAAGAGATTGACTCTTTGTTGGTAAAGAGAGATGGGTAGAAGAATCTGATATCAAGAATTTAGTCTACCTACAGGCCATTGTCAAAGAGACAATGCGACTACATCCACCAGCACCTGTACCTATGCCACGCCAAGCCGACGAAGACTGTAACGTAGCCTTGTCTTGGCGCCAGCTCTCAGTGAGCTCGCATTCCGGGAATGCGAGCTCCAATTCGAGCTCGCATTTTCGGAATGCGAAAACCCCTATTTGCAGAACACACTCCAAGAACCGCCCTCGTTGTAGAATTCTTTTTTTTTTCCATCATAAACTAAGAATTCACCCTAAAAACCACACGTGAAGATGGTTGATCCGAGAAAGAACGGGTGTGATTCGAGTACTTCGTAAAGAAGAGGAGGTGAAATGCGACCATCAGTTGTTCGTCTTCTATCTTCGTTTACATTTTCCAGCCCGCTAAAGGAGGTGTTATTTTCTTTTTCTTGCATTGGTCTATAATTGTACCTAATTTTAGGACGATGCCGCGTGTGGGTGAAATGCGTGTGTTGTCTAATCTAATCTTTGGGGTGTAAATGGACTAAGTTATCATTACAAGTTGAGGACACTTGTGCTGTAATAAGTTGAAGAAATTACAGAAAGTAAAAGATCTCTGGGAGTTTGATGAGTTGTCTTCAGTTTTTCTCCGTATGCATCAGTACCTCAAAGGTCTGGGTCTGTACGTACTCGAGTGAGCTGATTAAGAAGAAAGTGTAGAGACAATAAGTAGGAGAGAGTTGCTGGTGAACTGATTGAAAGCAACAGAAGCGATCCGCCAAATTCGCGTATTGAATTCCACGTGGTTGGGGTGTTAGCTCCATTGATTTTGTGTTTGTGTTGTGGCCTTGCCATTCATCCAACACAAAAGGAAAGGGTCCTATGACCTATCCAGTGTCTGCGCCGCGAGTTAACACGAAAGGGCACAAACGGTCCCAACCTCATTCATGATTCATGCATACAAGCAGCAGGTTGGTTGGAGTTGAGTTATAGCAAGTATTAACATCACCTGAAATCTGATGGAGTAATTTTCTTCTGGCCGGTAATCGGCGCCGTCCAATTGACAGGATTAATGGAGGAGGAGCAATTGGCAAGCACGCTGATCGAGTTTAAGAAAATATGATATCTAGGGCATGCCCTATGGGGTCCGAAGCAACCGCCAAATTCAGCTAATCCCTGTCGATGTTGATTTAATAACAATTTTTGTTTTTACGAGAAAAACAGGAGGAAAGGTGTTTAGAAGTAGCGGCCAGCAGCAGTCCCCACTCCCTCTTTGGGTGGCTGCTGGCTGATGGTGAAAAGGAGCCATTAGCGCAATGGCTGCTGGAGCACTGTCATAATCATAACTGCTGCTTTCATACCAAGTAACAGTTTCACGGTTTTCTGGAAATCTTCTTAGCTTTTTTACAGATACATATGACCCACCAAATAATTAATGTACCTTTGTCTCTCCAAAAGAAGAAGAAGAAGAGAAACAAATAAGAAAAGATGTTACAAAATTCCTACCGTTGGTTGTGTTTTGTGTCCTAGGAATTGGATACTTCAAAATTTTCACACCGGGGATTAACGCTTTTTTACAGAGGCCGCACAAACACGAGAATTTTTACAGAAGCAAGCAATGAAATCCAAGGGGACCGCTAATCCCGCAGCTCGTGACTTCTGGCCGGTTCATTTGAACTCTGCAAGCTGGATGACTCCGTAGACGTGTAGGATGCCTCGAATTTGTTGAATGCATTTCGAAGCAAGCTGCTCGTGCTGCTGTAAGACCCCGTAGAACTGGGAGCCAGCACGCTGGAGTTTATAAACGGCGGTTGATTTGGTTCAGGAACTTGACCATTAGAATCTGTAAGCATGTGAACGACTTCATCCATTGATGGCCTTGAAGATGCAGAAGCTTGGGTGCATAGAAGCCCGATCTTAAGCACGTTCGATGCCTCTAGCGCTGGAAACTCACCCTCGAGAGAAGGGTCCACTTTTTCCGCAAGTTTATCCGTTTTGTAAAACTGCCAGACCTGATCCGAACGAACAAATTTGTGGTCAGAAGACAAAATTCCTATTGAATTATCATGTCCAAATTTGAAGCCTTTAGCTGCGGTTACAAAAATAAAATGATCTTACTTACCGTCTGCAAAAGAGATACAGAGTCTTCCACAAAAGCGTTATTCTTCCTACGGCAGACAATCTCCAGAACCAAGAAAACTATACACATCCGCCTTCTCTGTCAGCTGTCCCTTGACAAGGTATTCAGGAGCCATATATCCTCTGCAAAGGCGAAAATCAAGCATTACTGTTTCAGTGGCGTGCAGGGCTATTTATCTATTGGTGTTTTTTTTTTTTTTTCAATTTCAAAAAAGAAAAGAAAAAGGTAAATCAATAATATTTTTCTCTTACAATGTCCCGGCAATTCCTGTACTAAGGTGAGTTTTATCCTCAGCAAAATGCCTAGCCAATCCAAAGTCGGCAATTTTTGGAGTAAGATTCTCATCAAGAAGCACGTTGCTGCTCTTGATGTCTCTGTGGACTATTCTGATCTCTGCCCCTCCATGAAGAAATGCAATCCCTTCTGCTATTCCCGCTATAATTTGAAACCGCTCCTTCCAACTTAGAACCTTAACTTCCTTCTTATCTGCCCAAAAAAAAAAAAAAGGAATGTGAAAAGTCAGCCCCCTTTAAGCTGCAGTTTCTTCTCTTGTAGACTTAGCTTGTCGACAAGAACAACAATTTAATGTCATCATTATATATTATTACCAAAGAGGTACTGATCAAGGCTCATGTTTGGGACAAACTCGTAAACCAACAGGCTCTCAGGGCCTTCAATGCTGCAACCCAACAGCTTCACGAGGTTCTTGTGTTGAATTCCACTAATCAAGTTCACCTCATTGAAAAATTCATCCACCCATTGCCTGGTATTGAAGAATAACCTCTTGACAGCAATAACTTTTCCATCAGGGAGAGTTCCTCTATGCACAGAACCGGCTCCTCCTTGGCCTATTTTAGTCTTGGATCAAAATAATTTGTGGCTTTCTCCAAGGTCTCATATTTGAAGTTCAAATTGGACTTGTTATATGTGCTGGAGATTCGGCCTAGATTTCTCCGCTCTGCATCAATAACGTTTTTGTTATTACTACACTACGATGCAATTCACAAGAAGTTACTACTGCTTTTGGTCATCAATCAATCAATCTTTTATAGTACCTTGCTTGGTTTTCTTGAATCTTGCGTATAATGCGTAAGCGGCAAAAGCTGAGATCATACAGAAGGCCGTGACAGACGAAGCTATGGCCACTGTTTTTCCAGTTTTTGAGGCTCCTGAAAACGACGCGATGGTTAAAACGAAGAAAGTTCAAAATAAACAAGTAAATAAATGGATAAATATAAAAATGGTAGGCTGCCACCGGCTCCAAATCAAAGAATAAAAAAAAAAAAAAACGACTACCACTAACATAAATAAATTGTTTGACAAGTTAAAGAAAAAACGACTGTCACGACACATATCATCAATCAATCAACCAAGATGCTAACCAGGTAGGAAACTTCAACGTCCAGAAGATGATCTTCGCACATAAAAGTATGCTGGATATAATAATATTGAACAGCTTTGACTGACTTGTGAACAAAAAAAGATGAATAGCGTGCAGGACCAATGAAACTACAGAAAATAAATAAACCTAATAACTTGTTAAACTCGAAGATTATTATTGTTAACCAATCAAGAAAACATCAGACGCTACAAAATGTTGGAGGGGAAAAGGGATAAGCGTTTCATGAAACAGAAATGGAATATATATCAGCACTGAATCAAAATGAAAACTTAAGCAGCGAATTGAAATTACAAATGAAACTCAAATTCAAGTTCAATTCTTTCTTCCTCACCCAGTCTTGAATGGTAGTGCTCTCATGTTATGTGCGATTAATAAAATATTCATATACTTACCGGAACTGCTGCTGACATTCTGAGGCCGATCGGTGTAGAATTTCTGGGTGGAGTACCTCAAGTAACAGCCAGCATTCAATCCCCTGCCTTCCCTGCTAGGCAGACATCCTTTCACATTTCTGCTTGCCTTAGCCAAACATTCTTTACAACCTTGTTTGCTCAAAGTCTTCCAACACTGCGCCAGACCGTACACTCCATTCAGATCCCTCACTGCATACCCGCCGCCCATCGCAGCTGCTATGCTAACATTATCAACCAATTCCTAGCTCTCTTCCCAAAACTCGCCGCTTCTTCAGCAGTGGCCAGCCCGGCTGAGCTGCTACAGTTGAAGGTATCTATAATAGGATCAGTGCTCTCGTTGAAGAAATTATAATCATCATAGCGCAGGAAGCATCCGTCGAGATATATACGAGCTGATACAGGGGAGGCAACGAGGGAGCCTGGTTCTGCTCGCAGCGTAGCAGAGGAGGCAATCAGTGTGAGAAAGATCTTGGTAGCATTGGGCCAAGGCATAGATGGATATGCGAGTTTGGTTCATTGCATAATGGCCCCAGTTGTTGTCGGTGACGAGTGCTGAAATTTTTTCCATTTCTTTGACGAAAAGTGGGATGTAGCTGGTGTTCGGAGGCGGTCTGTTCAGGCCGCAGAAGAGGCCGGATTCACCGATTCGAGGATCGGAAAATGTGAATGAGAACAAGTTGAGAATGAAGATGAGGAGCCATGTTGTCAAATGGACAGGATACAGGCTCGAGAACTGCATGTAATTTGATCGAACTTTGGACAGTTATGGCTTTGAGAGAGAGATGCTGGTACGTACTACTTACTATAAATGCAAAGGAAGGAAGGAAGACCACAGGGGCGAGTGATGTGTGAATTGGAGACGGTAATACTAATAGCGTAGGCCCGAAAGTGAACGAGAAGACGAATGAAGAACAGAGTGAGATGGTTCCTTCTTCTCTTCCTTTCCTCGATTGGGAAGGAGAAGAGAGGCACTTTATCTCCACACGGTTAGTAGGATGGAATTGTTGTGCGGTAAAAGCGGTTGGGTTGGGATAATTATTAATCAGAGGCGGGGTTGGATTGGATTTTAATAGTTGTCAGATTAATAATTTGGCGCAGCCTCCTCTAATTAATGTTCCCACCTTAAACAAATGAGAATGAGGCCTTTAGCTGTCATTTCGCAATCCTGCGTGATAATTAATTGCCTTCTATTATTATTAAGAAAAGGGACCACGCGTCCCCCCCCCCCCCTCCCCCTCCGCTTCCTCCAAAGCCCAACAAAACCCAAAGGGCTCCGTTTGAATTACCTGTTTTTTGGAGTGTTTTTGAAAAATTTTGCTATAGCAGAGTTTTAGATTATATTTTAGGATATTTTCAGAAAATATGTTGGGATATTTAAGAGTAGAAAAGTTTTTAGAATATGTTTTGAGATTTTTTTAAAATTTTTTTAAAAAATTAAACTAATTTTTAGAGCACTTTTTTAAAATTTTTATTGTATTTGAAAAACATTCCCATCCAAACAGGAATTGTTATTGAAAAGCAGTGACTTTTAAACAGGAAAAACTAGTTTTTGAAAAACATTCCCATCCAAACTAGTAATTGGTATATAGTTTTTACTCCAAAAGGAAAGATATAAAGGACTTTTAATTTCAAATACATGGAATAGTGAGTTTTGAAGCTATTTTTGGATCCAAGTATAAGCCTCTGATTCATGATCATAACAGTTGTTAATTTCGTGTTTTTTTCTCCTTATTTGTGTGAAATATCAATTCTAGTGGGTTAATGTCGTTTTACCAAAACATCTGATTCCTCCTTGGGCTTTTTAGTTTCAAAACGCATCGTTTTAAAAAGACAGTAGAGATGGGAAGCCATTCAATTGAATCTTTTAAGATTATTGACAAAATTATGAGTAAAAAAAAAAGCGCTATTGATTGTTCCTTAATTCAACAGAGCTAAAAAGAATCAGATTTAACCAGGGTAACTGTACAAATTAATGAAGCTGCAAGTACCATGTACGTATCGAATTTGACGACCACAACCATTTTGCTTTAACGTATCGTACCTTAGTAGTATCTCGTTCCTATTTTTGCAACACAATCACGTCACGTGTTGATGTCAGGAAGGAGAAATCAGGATGAGATGCCTGTCGCACTCCACGACTACTTGTTGGATAAGTTTGGGCAATTTTTCAAAGGTAAAAACTCGGGCAGATTCGATACCCAGCGATCCATCTTCTTGCGGTGTGCTGTGCTTGTTAAGATGATGTTGTACAATTTGACTCATTATTAAATGTTTTAAAATCAAATCTATTCAAATATGAGCTATTTTTGGATAGATTATTGCAACTTAGGTTTCTTTTTTTTTTTTTTTTTCCGGAGACGACAACTGTTGTGTAAGTTAATCTATTTTACATTAAGGGGGTGGGGCGGACTTAAGAAGGCTCAGGAATAATCCGGAGGGGATTGAACCACCTCCGAATCAAACGAATGCATAACACACCCGCCTAAATTTTTTGAAGCAAACCACTTAAATGTGGCATTTTGGTGGGAGGCAAGGTTTGAACCCTTACCTTCCACCCCACCAAGCTAGGTGGTGACCACCAGCCCAAAGACTGGTGTTACAACTTAGGTTTCATTTGACTCGCAAGTTTTTAGAGTTTCTATAAAAAAAAAAAATACTATAATAATGTAACGTAGAAAAGGTAGAAACATGATTAAGAAATGTGTCGAGAGAGAATTTTTCTGAAAAATCTTAAGAGCGTTCAATTTCAAGTTTATCATACGCGTACATGTGCATACTCCTCCTCGTCTAGAAGATTATTTAGAACACCACATACCGCGTATCGCGTGTCCTGGAGATCCCAGCATTGGCTGTCCTTTCTGGAATTGTAATATTCTCATCCTTTCTTTAATCCCAAACGCGACGCACATTTTGTCTACTGGTCTACTATACCTACTACTACTGTTTAAACTCAGCTGAAGCTTCTCATGTTTGTAGTTTTGTGTGCTGAGACAATCTGAATTTGACGTTGACGGGGGGCCAATGAACTCTCCCTGTTAGTATTATTGCTCTCGAGAACGCTGACTTCTTCATACCACACCACCACCGAGCTAGATAGTGCCGTCATTTTCTCGCTATTCAAATCTGCTACCTACTACTCCTAATACTCCAAAAGTCCAACGCCTTGAGTAGTAGTAGTACACTACCCAAATACTGGTAATTATTAGTAGTATCCTCTAAAGATTAAAGAAAAGAAGTTAATTAATTAAGTGCGTCCACAACCCCGAAAGCATCAGCTAATAAGATCAGTACTGGAAGCTTTTGGGCCTTTCAAGTTGACCTCATTCATGAACATGAAAGGTCTTTTCAAGCTTTTTTTTTTTCTTCCCTTAAATTTTGGATTGGCAAGTGGTAAGAAGTAGCACGTGGTAAATATTTCTGTTCTTCGGGAATCTTTCAATTCTAGAGATTTTCAGTGGAGAAACAATTGCAACGCGGCTAATGCTGTCTTTTCTTGGACAAAGTTTCAAACATGGTAGCAGTATAATAACGGTCAAACAAATAATCTTCAGCCAGCTTCCTCCCCCATCTTTCAATGGTCCGCAACCTATCCGTTTGGCCATATTCGGTCTTGTTTATGCATTTTCACAGACGGATAAACGACTCATCTGTTTTCCGTTTACTGTCAGAAAACCATGGATGATTGATGCGTACCACCCTTCATGCGATCACGTACATTTTTAATCGACCTCTGGAATTTAGAAAATGAATAGTAAATCTGTATGGTACGTGAAAATAAATGCAGAAAAGTGAGAAAGTTCGTGTGCATATATTATTGTCTGTCTGGAAAAACTAAAATATTACTACTATCTAATATGCGATTTAAGATCTGTTAAGTAGGACAATTCTATGGTGGAGAATCAGGTCAACTCCTTATATAGGGAGATAAAACGTGAAGCTGACAACAAACAATCACTGAAATTAAGGTGTCTTTTGTAGCTGACCCTATGAACTAGTCTATAAATTGGCAACCGGCTATGTCAGTCTAAAATGGGTTGGTTGGACGGACTGCGGTGCTGTCAAATCTGGTGGTTTTGTGGTCCACAATATTCCGCGTCGCTAACTCCGCATAACTACGCGCCAGTGGGGTGAAATGGCAGGACTGAGGAGCATAAATAAATCCAAGATTTCAGAAAATTTTCATGGTTCCTCAAAATATTAAAAATTAGTGCTTATATCCTCGGAAAATAAACCTTGCCAGCAGGATTTTCAGAATTGTTTTATGTCCTCTTGAAATGTTCCTTGTGAATATTAGACTTTACTTGTGAAAGCCTTTATAAAAATGTAAGGATGTCTCTTCATGATTTTTTTACTAATTTTACCCTCTCAAGCATATATAAATCTTTTCTATTGTCAACTATATATACAGATACAAAAATTTAAGTATTCATTGTTAAAATTTCTAAACATCAAGTAAATAGTTCAGTATGATATTTAATGTTTGATTATTTATATCACTTTTGAAAAAGTATGATAACTAAATATCGCAAGTACAAAAAATGTTTTGAATTATCTATTTAATTACGGAACACTTGTTATAAAATTAATAAACAAGTGATGAAAATTATGATAATAGAATTGTAACTAATATTTATGGAAATTTATACTAATGCTTAATTGTTACTTGTTGCCAAAAATGATGCATCAACATGTAGAAAAAACTTGAAGTTGAACTCTAGTTTGTTTTGTTCTTAAAAGTTGAGTTTGAATTTGAATCGAATTTATTTTACCTTGTTTGAGTTCAATCAGATCCAGCACAATCAAGCTCAATTAATTGAGCTTAGTCAACCCAATCAAGTCTCATTAAGCTCAATTCAGTTCAATTGAGTTTAATCGAGCCCAATCAAGTTTAAGTAATATAAACTAATATTTTATACAATTTTAAACAAAGGACACGATAGATATTTTATACTAATAAATATAAAAATTTTGATATATATATATATATATATATATATATATATATATATTGAAGCTCAATTGAGCTCATTTATACTCGACGAATTTTCGAGACTCACATATTGGGTTCGAAATTGAGCTCTTCAAGTTGTTCGATCTATTTGAACTCGATCATTAAGAACTCAAACTTGCAAGTAACTCTATTGAGTTACGCTTATTTACACCCTTAATTACACCTAAAATGCCCATCATGTTTTTTTAAATGTTATGTTGCCAAGTGCAAAACTACTATAACCTAATTTTTAAAATTTTTTATAATAGTTAAAAGATTAATATCATGGGTACTTAAAGAAACAATTCTAGTAAAAGTACATAGCGTGAAGTTTCATTTGGTTTGCCTCGCATTACATGTTGTAGAAATACATTTATATTTGGTATGAAAATGAATATTAATCAATGATACAAGAACGGCCCTATTAGAATAAAATTTTAAATTTGGATATAAGTAGGCATGTTAATTAGTAAATCTTATCTAGATCCAATTCAGACCCAATATACTTGGGTAAAGTTTGGGTTTAATTTCTCAAATCCAACCTTTACCCATACCCAAATCCCTTTTAGAGAGTCATGGGTCTAGTAGAATCTAATTTTTTACTATCTATACCCAAATCCAGATCCAAAACTAGACTCTACTCAGATTTATGTATAAATTACATATATATATATAGATATACACACAAACATATACATACATGTATATAAAATCTAATATTCTATAGTCACTGGATCAAATACATTAAGATTTTATGACTGTTAAATTAAAAGATATGCGTTTAATATTAAAAAAAAATCGCCTAATCCCGCCCTTCTATTGTGTGACTC